TACCAGGGATTTTCCCAAACAACTCCAGCAAAAAAATTCCGCTACGAATCTCCGCAACAATGTCCGCAGATTCCACTAACAGTAACATCCAAACCTATGGAACCACTCTCGACATCGACATCCCTTTCAAAGTCGAAGAAACAACACTCACACTCTTCGACTGCCCTGCCATCTAAGCAGCCTAAGCATTCTTTGAAGGATCGCCATGTTACACCAACTACAACTTTGAGAAATGCACTGTCTAGAGCAATGGTCCCCAACCTTGGGCCTCCAGAGGTTCTTGGACCACAACCCCCAGGAGCCTTCACCACCACCTCTGCTGGACAGGATTTCTGGGAGTTGAAGTCCAAGAACCTCTGGAGGCCCAAGGTTGGGGACCATTGCTCTAGACAGTGCATTTCTCAAAGTTGTAGTTGGTGTAACATGGCGATCCTTCAAAGAATGCTTAGGCTGCTTAGATGGCAGGGCAGTCGAAGAGTGTGAGTGTTGTTTCTTCGACTTTGAAAGGGATGTCGATGTCGAGAGTGGTTCCATAGGTTTGGATGTTACTGTTAGTGGAATCTGCGGACATTGTTGCGGAGATTCGTAGCGGAATTTTTTTGCTGGAGTTGTTTGGGAAAATCCCTGGTATGCTTCCATCTGGAATTGATTAGTAAAAGGGAAGAAATTGTCCATGTCAAGCTGCTGGAAAGCGAGCTGTTGGTAGGCTGGAAAAAAATGGGAATTGGTAACATTGACCAAATTGAGGCACTGATGGTGATGGTTCCACATGCTTCCTCTTCTCCTTGTTTTTTTGAGATTGAGGAGGAGTTTCCAGTTCAGACGGCTTGGTGTCAAAAGACCGCCCTGAAATCGGCCTCGAATGGGCAGTGGCTGGACTGGATGGAGGCTCAGTCCCAACGTGGCCAGTGGAGGGAGAGAAGGTACCAGGCAGGGCTGGAGCCTGTGCTGATGGAATAAGCACCTCGTCCCTTTCCACTACAGATGCAGCAGCTTCCATAGAAGATTCTTCCAATATGGGAGAGGGTGGATGCTCTCCTGGTGGATCCAAACGGATGATTCAGCTTTCTTAGGCTTAGAAACAGGTTTTTCCTTTTTCCTTTTTGATTGCTCCTTTGGGGGTTTAGATTTTGAAGCCCTTGAAGCATCAGAGCCCGTTTTGGAATGGGGTGAAGGAGTATAATGCCCCGGAATGGTAGCTGAGGCTTGTTGTGGCAGGTCCGTTTCTGAGTGTGGAATCTCAGCAGGAGCCACAGCAGCGGGATTCATGGTGGCTTCCCAAAGATGAGACCTCAATCTCTGGAGTCTGTGTTTTAGTGCTGGCTTGGTAAAACTTTTACAAGTCGAGCAGGATTGGGTCTGATGTTTCTCGCCCCAGCAAAATAAGCATTTGTTGTGGCCGTCGGAGGATGGAATTTTGCTATTGCAGCTGACACAGCGCTTGAAAAGGGCCGAAGAGGCCATAAAGGGAGGGAAAAAACATTTGGAAGTCCAAGGGGAAGGGGAAGGCGTTTGAAGGTAAAAGTGGCAATCGAAGAAGAAAAAACGCACGGGCGATCAAAGGAAAGAAATTGTTGATTGATAACTGAAGTAGGTAATAGGTAATTAGCAGGTATTTGGTAGCACAAAAGGCCTAATAATCGCTCTCTTTCTTCCATAGAACCTTTCAGCACAGTGGAAAAAAGGAAGTGAGGGAAGAGGTGAAGAGGAGGAGCATTGCCTCATGGGAGATCACACCATAAA